CCGGGAGAGAGCGGTGTGGGGCGGGGGGGGGGGGGGGGAGGGAGGATCTCCAGTCAAAGGCCACACGCAGGAGACAAGATCTCGGCAGGTGTCTAGAATTGCGTGTGACAAGCAGCTGTTTGCTCTGGGTGTTACAAGTACTGGTAGCCACAGGCCTGGGCCAGGGAGGAGGTGCTGAGTTCTGCTTGTGGCCACAGCACCGAAAACCCCAGCTGTGCTGCCAGGCAGGTCAGAGAATAAGCCGCACTGTGTTCTTGCTGGAGGACCTGGCTTGGTGAGACAAGAGCAGAGACAGTCCAGGACAGGCAATAGAATAGTATCTACGGGCCAAACCCTTTCAAAACATCCAGGGGGCTTGGGATCAGAGTGTGGCCTCTGGAATCGCCCATCGGGTTTTGGCTTCACATCCCAGCCGGGGCCTAACTTCCGGGTTGGACCCAGCCATGATCTTGTATTGAGCTGCTCGTGGGCAACGTCAGGCCCATGTGGCGTTGTCCCGCCCTCAGCATGTCACATGCCAGATGGCGGATTTCTCCTCCAAGCCCAGGGCTCTGCTCCTTGGGGGCAGCTTCTTGGCAGATGAGCTGCTGAGATCAGAGTCCGCCTGCACCCAGCCCCACTCTGGAGAACAGCGCTTGTCCCTTCTCTAATTAGAAACTAGTGAGCGGGAGCTGCATTTGCCATTGAAGACGGTCAGACGCCCTGCTGCCCGGGCCAGTAATTTTTAGTTGGGCAAAGCAGAAGTCAAAGGAGCATTTTGCATCACTTGGCTCTGATGCAACAGGCACATAGCATGGAGAATCAGGCCCCAGGCACCAAGTAGGGAAATCTCCAGGACGTCACAGGACACACCAGCAAGCTCTTTGCCCTCAGCCTTAGGTCTCTTACCTAGACACCTTAATCTAGGCCTCCTCAACACCTCAGTGAGCTCAGGGCCCCATGTCTCACCTGGCTGTGTTTAAATCCCACTTCTGTTTGGCAGCACTGCTGAGATCTTGATCCACAGACCCAGGTCTGCCCTTTGCTAGGAACCCTGGAAGTGGCTGCATTTGCAGGACAGATTATGGCCTCTTGCACTGTGAGGGAGGGAGAGTCCCCTTGGGGCCCAGCCGATAAAGAAACTACCTGGTTGGTAGTGTCTCACTTGAGCAGGGTGGTCTGCCAACCCCTTTCCATTTGTAAGTTTCACATCTTCTTCATTCCTGACCTTTTCTGCTAGCAGCTTACTCGTTTCTGCACTTGATGAATCATATCTGACGAAAAGCCATTCATATTTTTCCTCTCTCTCTCATACACACACACACACACAGGCTCAGTGAACATGGATCTCACATGCACTCAGTGAACATGGATCTCTCTCTCTCTCACACACACACACACACACAACATGGATCTCACACACACAGGGTCACTGAACATGGATCTCTCTCACACACACTCAGGGAAAATGAATCTCTCACACACACACACACACTCTCGGAACATGGATCGCTCTCTCTCACACACTCTCGGAACATGGATCGCTCTCTCACACACACACACACACACACAGGCTCAGTGAACATGGAACTCACATGCACTCAGTGAACACGGATCTCTCTCTCACACACACACACAACATGGATCTCACACACACAGGCTCACTGAACATGGATCTCTCTCACACACACTCAGGGAACATGGATCTCTCTCTCTCACACACAGGGATCTCTCTCTCACACACACACTCAGGAAACATGGATCTCTCTCTCACACACAGGGAACAGGGATCTCTCTCTCTCTCTCTCTCACACACACACACACACACACACACACGGACTATGGAGAGCACTCACACATGCACGTGTGCCCACAGACTGTGCAGTTCACACAGTGAAGCAAGGGAGGCCAGGCACCGTGCCATTGAAAGCAACGGGAGTTAGGTGCCTAGCTATTTTTGTGATTCTGGACCCTTATCTAAATCCGCAGGAGGATGGGAATAGGACGGGGTTGCCATGGGAATCAGGAAGTTCTCCCCAGTGTCACAGGCTGGACTGTCCTGGCAAGAACAAAAGGCGGAGGATGGGTGGTTACCGCGCCAGCCCTCGTTTATTCCAACTCTAGAACGCCCCAGGAATGCTCCTTTTGTCCAGCTCTTCCAGGCTTGGTGCCCAGTCGGCAGTGCAGGGTAAGACACACGCTCATCCCTAATGCCAGTGAGTTATGGCAGAACACGTCCACCACTCAGACCCGCTCAGTGCTCATTAACTAGGTGGCGCTCCCCAGGATTCCAGGCTGCCAAGTTTGAGGGGTCTCCAATCCTCCCCTTCTGTTTTGCAGACATGCCGTCGACGTGCACGTGGTGAAAGGCCATGATCAATTGCACAGAGCATCAGTACTGGGACGTACTCCTGTGCCAGTGCATCCCCTGCAGATTTGCATGTAATCGGCGCCGTGTGGAGAGATGCACTGCCTTCTGCGGTGAGGGCCCTAGGACGGGAGTGGGTGGGGGCCAGTACCAGATGTTTGTATTATCCCACTGGGCTGGAATAGGGAGATGACGTAGCCAGAGCGACACTACAAGGGGCTGGGTGTAAAGGCTTTTGGATGATACACAAGAACTCAGCCCCCACCCTTTGGGGCCAGTGAATTCCTACTGTAGAGGCCAGGGAGTCTGGGGCCAATTCCCCGGGAGGAAGCAGGGCAGTTCTGAAGGAGCAGCTAGCTAGGAGGGGGCACATTGAAGTCCAGCTTCCAAATGGCACTTGGAGAAATCTCCATCAAAGCTCTCCAGTGGCTTTACCTGAGTAATTGTCATACAAGTATCCGAAGTCAAAACGGTTGGAGAAGTGAAATCCCTCCATCCATCTGCACACTGTTCCTTGGGACCAGCCCCAGCACATCGTAGGGACCAGTTTGTAGGAGCCGCGGCTCCTTCTCCCATAGCTCCTGTGGATTCCCCCTCTCAGGGCAAGTTCCCAAAAGACCCCTGCAACTGCTCACTCCCCTTGTGTACAGAGAAGAGGCTATGTGAGACCTGCACCTGCATACATGAGTCACCCCAGCGCGCTCTCCCTTGCAAATACCTGCCCAGTGACTTGGCACGTGGCTGCAAAGCACAACGAGGGAATTGGTGTTGAAGTTCTGACAATCCAGCTGTTCAAAAAGCATGAGTCAAGGTGCCCCAGACTCCAGACTAGCTAGGGGTTGCTAGGCGTCCGGTATTGACCTGGACAGTCTGGTGTTTTTGGCTCCTGTCCGGTAAAAATTCAGAAAATACCGAACACTTAAAATGGCAGGTATTTTCTGATTTTTTTTCCTGGCCAAGGGGCAAAAATACCAGACTGTCCGGGTCACTACCGGACACCTGGCAACCCTACACACAGTCAGCAATCAGGCCCAGCTGCCCCGCTTTTTCCCACTTACCTGGTTCTGCAGGGGAGCTGTCTGGCCCGGAGCAGGGAGGGAGGCAAGATGGCCACCAGCTGCCTGTTAGGAGAGGTAGAGCCCAGCCCCTCTCATTCTTAAAGGGGCCATGCTATTTTAAAAATTTTTTTTGCTCAATAACTCTGGGTACTTTTTTTTTTTTTTGCTCAACAACTTTGGTCCTCCCTGCTTTTTTTCCAACAAAATTTATTCCCCGTTTTTTTGGGTGTGGGTGTGGGGGGGTGTTCAGTATTTTTGGTTAAACCATCTGGCAACCCTAAGACTAGCTTAAAAATCAGGCCCTGGTGCTTGGTGCCCTATGTCAATACCCCCAACCCTGTTCTCTGCCTATAGCACAGTTTATGCTGCGGAAGACTGCAATACTTTTGGCTAATTCTAGTTTGGGGTTTAGTGTGGGGTTGCCAGGTGTCCAGTATTGACCCGGACAGTCTGATATTTTTGCCTCCTATCTGGTTAAAAAAAAAACCAGAAAATACCGGACACCTAAAACGTCTGGTATTTTCTGCTTTTTTCCCCCTGCCAGGAGGCAAAAATACCGGACACCTGGCAACCCTCGGACACATTCAGCAACTGGGCTCCCCTCCCGCTGCTTACCTGGTTCTGCAGGGTGGCTTGTCTTGTGGCTGGAACAGAAAAACAAGATGTCTGCCGGCCAAAAAGCCTCCTCTTAAAGGAGCCATGCTGATTTAGTTTTTAGACTTTCCTTCTGCTTTCAGGTTTTTAATCTCTTCGGTCATCCTGGGCTTTTCTCTGCCCCACATGGCCAAGGCATTTACTTTATAGAACAAAAAAGGTGGAGATTTTCATGTTGTCACGTGCTGGGGCTTTAGGAAAACTATCAAATATTGTGAGCCTCCTGCCGCAATTGCAAGAGTTGGCAGTCCCGGTCCTGCTCCGATAAAGCTACTCCTGCCCCCATAAGCAGGCCACAGCACGCAGATCTAGCAGCAGTACCACTGGTGCGTATTGAGCAGGATGTGTGTGTCTCTCCCCTCCACTCTCCAGCCTCAATGGAATGCAGCAAGCAAGTTGGCTTCTACTATGACAAGCTTTTGACAAGCTGCATCAACTGCTTGGACATCTGTGGGCAGCACCCCAGCCAATGTCTCCCGTTTTGTGAGAGTAAGTCTGTAGAGTGTGCATGGCAAAGTGCCCTCGTGAGCGCTTGTGGGGCGGGTGGGAGGCAGGCTCCAGGATCATGCAAGCTTTCCTTTGGAGGCATTCAAACCAGTGGCGTAGCCAGAAGGGCCCCGACTGTGCGTAGGTGAGCAAGAATGGGGAGCAGGGTAAACCGCTGGGCTGCGAGACTGCTCCCCGGCCAGAACCTGAGTGGGTTGGCGGGTGGGCCTAGATTCAAACCAAGAGTTGAGTAGGACGCCACGTGGTGCAACTTCTCTCCCTTGCTCTGGGCATACGGCAGGCAATCACAAACCCTCTCTGGATTAGACTGGATTAGCTTTGGTAGGCTGGTGAGGAGGCAATACCAGGGCGCACCCTTCCCCCAGCCCATGCTGTCTGCTTTTGGCTCCCCCTCCTCCTTTGGACCCTCCTTTGATTTGAACTCTTGCTGCTGGATCTATTATGCCATGGGGATTCTCGCTTCACTGTGCTGTCTTTGGTGCATGGGGGTGGGGAACAACTTCACGTGGTGAAGAATTGCACATCCTGGAGGGGAATGTAACCCACACACCTTCTGGGTGTGGTGACCATGTACTGTCCCATCCAAGATCACTTGCGGAGACAATGAGTCTGTTCCATGGCTTTAGCTGAGAGCCAGCTGGCATTTAGTTCATGCAGTAGAGCGGGGTGGGGAACCTCAAGCCCAAGGGACAGATGATCCCCAAGGCTCAACATTGGGGGAGCCTATGCTGGTGCTCCAGCCACCCAGGGCTGGAGCCAGTGTTGTCGTCATTGTCAAGTCCAAGTCGAGTCTCGAGTCCCTAAAGTCACTTTCGAGTCAAGTCCCAAGTCTTAATTTAGAAAATGTCAAGTCACTTTTGTACAAGCCATTAATACTGGTGTTTTCGGACAGTTTTTTCACCAAGTCGATTTAGCAAAATTAGCAAGTCTCAAGGCGAGTCTCAAGTCACAAACAATGAGCCTGAGTTGAGTCTCAAGTCGAGTCACCTAGGCGACTTAAGTCGGACTCGAGTTCAAGTTGTGGGACTCGAGTCAACAACTCTGGCTGGAGCACACAAAATGTGCTAGCTTGGCCCCCCCGGGCTCTGGTGTGTGAGGAGAATGTGGGGAGGGCCTTTCTCTCTTGTCAGGGGCTTCTCACATGCATGCAGCCCCCAACTGAGTTTTCTGTGGGTCAGCAGCCCCCAACCCAAAAGAGTCCCCATCCCCGCGGTAGAGGCTCATGCACTAAGCTCTAGAGGCTCCAGATTTGGTTCCACCTGCTGGCGTTCTAAGAGGAAGAGCCCTGCCAAGGTGCTTGTGTAGAGAGGGAGTGAAGCTGCGCAGGACAAGGGCTGCCCTGCTAGCCACATGAGAGAACCCTGCAGACAGGGGAATGCTTCCAAGGCAGGTTCAGCGTCTGCATCTGACTGCTGTAGCCCCAGGGCAACGAACCCCTTCCTGCCCTGCCCTGGGTAACAGATGGGTTGTGTTCCACTGACTTTCAGATAAACCGGTAGCTACCTCATCCGCAATGTCTGCTGCGGAGCCAAAAGTAGGCTGTGAGCAAGACCAATGCCTGGTTATCTACCTACTGCTGGGGCTCTGTCTTTGCACCGTGATCTGCTGTTTGCTGTTGGGCTGGGCCCACTTCAAAAGGAGGGGAATGGAGGTCTCCTGCCAGCCCACTCCTGGGACCTGCCACACGAGGGAGGATTCCTCAAAAGGTAAGTAGCAGCTGCCGGAGGAGAAAGAAGTTACAGGGTCAGAGGCCAAGGGGGAGCGTGTGGATGGCTAGAAGTAGCCACTCATACCCCTGAGGCAGGAGATATATTCAGGCAGCAAAGAATGTGCCATCACAGTGTGTCTGGCTGGGAAGAGGCTCGACTTCTACACCTGTGACAGGCCAGTGGCATGGTTATAGGATGAACTCTTTGGCTGTACCCCATACCCCAAAGGGAGGAAAAAACTGAGCTCCAAGTCTCACACCCTAGAGGGGAAAGGAGCTGGAGGGTGCCAAAGGAAGAGCCCTGTCCTTCCTGGGGTAGGGCTCTGAGCTCTTGTGCCTCTCTGACAGTTGCAAGCCAGATGGACCCCTACAAGGTGTGGAGAACACTTCTAGGCACAGGCCAGTTCTGGGAGCCTAATGTGGTGTCTCTCACCTGTTCCCTACGTGCCTCTTTTCACAAGCCTCTGAAGAGATTTTGTTCTGAGGAGAAGGTCAGAAGGGACCATACTGCTCATCTAGACCAGTGTTTCTCAAACAGTGGTACGAGTACTCTTAGGGTACTCGAAAGTCTGGAGGGTACGTCAACAACTGAAATCTGGAGAAAACTGAATTTTTGTTTAAGTTTTACAGCGCTTTATTATTTTGGAACATTTTACACCCAAAAATGTCATAAGTACCCCCCTTTTAAAAAAGTTATATATATATATATATTTATTTTAAAAATGAGTACTTTATAAAAAAGGTTGAGAAACACTGATCTAGACAGACCTCCTTGCCTAGCACCCAGAACTACATTCAAGAATAGTCCCTAGCAGAGCAGATCGGTGGGTTAGTCAGCCTAGAGAACAGGGTGGGGGTTAAAATAATGACCTGAGACCAGCAACTGTCTCAATTCCTGACTCTGCCATGGAGTTCCTATGCAAATTTGGGCAAGTCCCAATCTCTGGGCCCCAGTGTCCCACCTGTGAACTTCCCCATGTCAGAGTGGCTGTGGTATTGGCACATTTATTAATGGTTCTGAGCTGCTCTAGTATTACAGTCCCAATGGCCATGCCTGTAGAGATTTAGCTCTAATCCTTGTGGTGACCGTGGCTAGGTGTGCAATCTTAGCCAAGATACTCACTCTCTGTATCTCTGTGGCTACTGAACCCATCTTGATAAAGGTTTTGAGATCTCTGGCATTTAACGCAAGCTACTCCCTGGAGCCCTTTGAACTGCTAACGCTTATTGGAGACCATTAGCACGGACATGATCCATTCTGCTACCAAAATGCTTTACCAAGAGGTAAAGAGAAGATTCTTTTCAGAATGGGCACAGGGAGAGCTGGGGTACAGCTTGGACAGCTGCCACAAAAGCGTGTGCCAGATGAGTTATCCAAACCAGGCCATCACTGTTTCAGACTCCTTGGGGCCAACAGCTGATATACAATCCTCTCCTTCCACAGCAGCTCGCTGCTGGTAGCTACACTTTACATTGTACAAGAGCAGGCATGAAAGCAGGAATTGGCACCTACGGATGAGCTGAGAGAGCACTTTGCTCTTCTAAAGCTCCATGCACCTGATGATCTCAAAGCATTTCATGCACATTAAGGAATTAAACTTCCATTATGTCCATGAGGTTCATGTTACAGCTGGAAAAAACAAGATGCAGAGCACACCAGCATATGGCAGAGGTGGGAACAGAACCCCCCAGTACCCACCCCCAGGCTGCATGGACTGCGCACTGCCCTTCAAGGTTGCAAAGCTGTGTAGTCACTGACCAGCAGTCCCTGCTCTCTCCTTCCTTGGGACAGCAAGAGCTAGGAGGTAGCTTGTGAAATCCTAGGGAGAAGGGGAGTAAAGAATAAGTGTCTCTAATTAAGCAGCCAGCCAATCAAGAAACAGAGCTGAGCCTCCTTTACTAATGATCCTGTTTGGATTTGGTCAGGGCTCACTTTTGGCTGCACTGGGGCTAATTTAACAGTGGCTTCCCACTTGCTCATTACCACTCCAAAGGCTGAATTCTCAGGGACTTCAAAGGCAGATCCAAACCCAGGGCACCTGCAGCTGCATGCAGAGAGCAATCTTGTTTACAAGCAGGTGGGCCCTTGCTTTGAAACGTACCTTTTGTGCACAACCATACCATGTTGGTTCTTGAGGGCCTGGAGATACACAGAAAGGGAAGGTCCCTGTCAGTGTTCCCTGTAAGCGGTGTGCTTGGGCAGACACCCAGGAGAGATTCAGGTGCCTCCCAACTGATTGGCAGAGCTCCCACAGCTAGCAGTGTGTTTCTACTGATGGTGCATATCTGCACATGCCTTGGTGCACATCACAAAATTTATTCCACTCATGGAAGGAAAAAAAGAGAGTGAACATTGGTCCTTGTCCTGGGGAATACGCAGCTGAGAGAAAAAACAAAGACTAAGGAGAGTTACCCCTGAAAGCCAGGGAAGGGGAAAAGAGAATTGAACACAGTTCTCCATATGGTGTCAGATTGATGGCAATTTCAGACACTATGCTAGCCTGGGACTCAGGCCCAGATTTTTAAAGGTATTTAGGCATTATTGCAACTGACACTGGGATTTAGACCTCTCAGAGCCTAAATCTCTTTTCAAAAGAAGATGTGAGCTCTGACCTCCACAGATCTGGGCCCGAACTCCAACTGATTGAAATGTAAGTGAGGAGTCTAAATACCTTAGGCAGCCTGGGCTCCGTTCCGTCTGTGCCCCAGTTGCGTATCTGTGCAATGGAGAGAACAGCGCTACCCTGTCTCACGGGGGTGTTGTTACGATACATTCATTAAAAAGACCATGAGAGTCTCAGCATCATTAGTGATGGGACCAGCTAAGAACCTAGAATATGATGGTCTCTCTCTCCCATCTCTTCAATATGGAAAAATCAGACCAACATGCCACCTAACGGGTAACATTTAGGGTATGTCTAGACTGCATCTCTCTGTCAGCAAAGGAACGCAGATTAGACAGGTCAACATTGCAAATGAAGCATAAAAAAAAGGCCTTAACTTGTATTGAAAAAAAAAATGGCCTGTTTTTGCCGACTCAGCACTTTGTCGGCAAAAAGCGGCAGTCTAGAAGGGGATCTGTCGAGAAAGAAAGCCTTTTTTGACAGATCCCTTATGCCTCCTGCAAAATGGTGGCCATTTTTATGCAAATTAAGCACGGGATATTTAAATCCCCGCTTCATTTGCAATGTCAACCTGCCTAATATGCATCCCTCTGCCGACAGAGGGATGCAGTCTAGACATACCCTTAGTCACTTTCCAGAGCAGAAATATAACATATAACTGTTCCTATCCGCCTCTGTCTGAAGACACTGTGGCACTAGGGATTGATTTTGAAGGGCCCTCATCAAGTTGGAAATGATATACTGTATTTTCAGATAGGGAAGTAAAATCCTGTTTAATCAGTTAACCAATTAAATGTTACATGGTTAAGCAATTAAATGGGTTAAGCGATTAAATGGGATCCCGTGGGCCCACTGTGGGTGGGAGCCACTCCGGCCCTGCCAGGCCAGACACCCACCACCGTAGCACAGTATGGCGGACTGCTCTGGTTGTGCCAGGCCTGCCGTACCACACCATGGGAAGGTAGGGGCTGTTCACGCCCAGTCAGGCCACCGGTTAACTGGTAAGCATCACTGGATAAAGGTGATGCTCACTAGTTAAGCAGTGACATCCCTATTTTCAGAACAACAAATGTCATTCCCCTTTGTACTAAGATGACCGTAGAGGATGGAAACTGAAGGCCCCACTGGTGCCATTTTTAGAATTCTTTCAGTGTTGGGGTGGTGTTTGCATTTCACTCCATTCAGACAATGGATGTAAAGACCAGTCATTCGCACTTTCAGGATCTAGTCTGG